TGTCACAGCATCATAAGCCATGTTGTGAGAGACTTCATTAAAAGTCTTTTAATGAGCTGGTGGTACATACCTTTAAACCCAGCACTTGGGAGGCAGAGGCAGGCAGATCTCTGAGTTCAAGGCTAGCCTGGTTGACATAGTTCCAGGACAACCATGACTACAAGGATAAACTATGTCTCAAAATAATAATAATAATAGTGTTCTTTATTCAAGCAGCTCAGATATTGAGTATCCCATAAATCACAGAGTTTCTTACACTGGTCCTTTATGAAAGTCTCAATCTTCACTCTGAATCACAGATTTCCTTGCCCTCTCTATTAAAAGGTCAGATTTCTTCCATAATGTCTGCCTTGTTTGTTTATTTCTGCTGTCCAAATCTTCTCACTGGTTATAGCTTACAAGTTTTTGCATTCCAGGAAATGTTCCTTAGTACAGACACAATTTAAACTCTTTTGCTATCAAATGTAATTTAAACCCATTTGTCTATCAAATATGAAAAAAGAAAAAGGCATGTTAATACCTTTATCCCTTTTGTCTTCCTTTTTCTGACAAATCAGTGGCTAATGCAATGGAAACCATCTACATGTCTTTCCCCCAGTGTAATTCCTTACTTGTGCAGAAAGATTCTGGAAGACAGCTGAGCCTTAGATCATGCTTTACCACCCACACTAAAGTCATGCGAACAATACTACATGCATTTGGTTCTTCATATCTTCAATATACTTGCTAAACACTTCCTCCTTACCATTTACTTACAGTGCCTATACTGGTTCTTTTTGTTATTTTGTTTTGTTTTTGTTGCTGTTTTCAAGACAGAGTTTCTCTGTATAGCCCTGGCTGTCCTGAAACTTACTCTGTAGACCAGGCTGGCCTTGAATTCAGAGATGCACCTGCCTCTGCCTCTCGAGTATTGGGATTAAGGCATGAACCATCACCACCCAGTTTATAATGCATATATGAAAATTTTGAAAACAGCTGTGTTACAGCCTTTGTGAATTAATTCCTACATCTGTGTTGTCCTGATATTGCCATATACTTATTTTTGTCTTTCCTTGTGAAACATCAGATTCTTCATAATCTGAATAATTTTGGATAATATTCCAGACATTTTAACATTGCACTAAGTATTTCTGAGTTAGGACTGTAGAGATTGCTCAGGGGTTAAAAGTACTTGCTGCAAATTTCATCACGATTTCCATATATTTTGGATCTAATATTGGTTCAATTTCCAAGATTTTCAATACAAATAGACCTGTCTTACATATGCCCCACTTAAACGTCACACTATAACCTTGGCATGAAGGTGTCAGTTAATTCTGCTGATAGCATGTTTGTTGCAGTAATTTGGATTAGATCAGTGTATGTACAGCACAAGTGCAAGTCCAGTAACTCACACACAACTTCAAAGATTGTTTTCAAAACTTTTCCCCAGTCCTCCTCTCTGCAGTCCTCTCTCAGCAGTCCTCCTCTCTGCAGTCTTTATCTCTGAAATCCTTTTTTCTCTACACAGTCTTTCTCTTTGGTTACCCCATCTCCAGTGTATTTTAAGTCAGAAGCCAAATGGCCAGAATACAGGTCAGCTGTGACAGATTCACTCCTTTGTTTGACTGAGCTGAGCCATGAAGAAAAGTTCTCCTCAGATGTGGCCTCTGCCCTCTGTACTACTGGGATTGCTCAGTGGCTAGCACAGAAGAAAGTAGAGAGGAGGAAAAATGAAGGCTCTCTCCACATGGAGACCACAGCTCACTTTTAGTTCTCCTTGTACAGAGATAAAGAGCAACTCTGGAGCTCAGCTTTCTTCCTTGGTACCCAGGCTTAGGCTCCATTGAATTGGGGTAAGTAACTAGACAAAAAAGCTGGTAGATGTACTACCAGTTTACAAGAACTTCAAACTCCGATATTCTTTAATCTCCCCAGTAATTACTCAGTATCTTCAAGGAGAGTTACCCTCTTAAGTGCTCAGATCTTATCATAGGGCTATATTAAAGGAGCAGAGGGAAGTGTGTCACCTGGGTCTGTCCTAGAACCAGAGTTATCCAATTGAAAATTTTAGAGGTCAGTTAATAAGGGCCCCCTGTGAGCTAGGAGAACGCTGTGCTTTGCTTATGTAACTAGCCCTTACGATCCCCACAATCTATATGTTGGAATAGTTATATATTACAACCTACATTTTACACAGACAGAAACAGATGTTTAGAAAATATTAAGTACTTTACCAGTGGTTACCTGACTAGAAGCAAGACTCATAAAGCCTTTATAAATCATACAACGATGAACCCAGACCACCTGCACCCAAAACTAGTATAGCATTATTAAAGTTGAAGTTTCCTGTGCCCTACCTCAAACACACCAAAGTCAAATCTATGAGAATATATCAGAGTTTCTATACATACTGAAGTTGAAAACCAATGCATTCTATACCCAGTGAAGGAAACCATCAGTCTAAGTGACTATAAAGAGTATGTCAATATACTTCAAATAGAAATAGTCATAAATGTTGGCATCAATCAGTTTAAAATAGCTTACATATGCTCACTTTCCCTGCTCTTCTGCATCATGTTAAGGAACATAAAATAGAAATTGTCATAAACCAAAGTTCACTTTTATATAGCAATCTATATTCTGACCCAAGCCTTGAATTTTTGTTCTGACTTTAGCCCCTAAAAATAAGAACTTTTTAATAGGGCTCCTCCTCAAAATGTGTTAATCAGCCAGTATATAAAATTCTAATTTCCCGTCCATTCATCACTTACAGTTGCCACCTCCCTTCCTAGGAGGCAGAGTTACTGTGACTTTCCTAAAGAATCTGACTTAGGCTCCCTTTTGTGAGGCCATTTTGCATGATCCCATCCCTAACAGGTAAGTGGGAATTAAATAGAATTAGAAGTTTATTGTTTATGTATTACTGGTAAGAAAAGAGAAGTTGCATTCAAATAGAAATACAAAAAAAAAAATTGGATGAAAAGAAGTGTAGCATTAGTTTACAGTGATGACATACTTAAAAACATTAAAAAAAAATCTATCAAACTTCAGTGCTCACTTAGCAAATCCAGAAAATCACCTACATAACACTGAATCCCCCACACATTTCTTCCCAGAATGTTTACAGGCACTGCTTTGATGACTCATAGCAAGAATTATCATTGCTAACACGCATATGGGAAAATCAAAGTCAAGTATGTCATTATCTAAGTCCATACGACAGTCTCCCTTTGGAAGCAATGTGCAAGCATATCATAACAGTAAGTCATATTTTAGTACTAAAATGTGTGGCAAATATTCTGCTTTGAAATATCTCTTCCAAAAAGTGTTCTTATAGATATTTAAGAAGAAGTTTAAACATTTCAAAGTAAGCAGCAGTAATGAATCAAAAATTAAAAAACAAAACAATGAAGACTATGTGAACATGAGAAGAGGGGGGAAGGGAAAGGGAAACAGAGAGGCTCTAAACATATGGCACAGAAGGCAAATCTGTACTTGTTTAGAGCACAGAGCTGCAGTTTCCATCTCTTGTTGAGTACGTAAATGACTTCACAGGCAACGGTTTCCGTATGTTTCATATTTTTAAAGCTGACCATTTGTAATAAAGATTCTTTGATCCCAGATCAAATGTTTGAATCAATTTTCTCTGCACTCCCTGAGTCACTGTTATAAAAACTTCCCTCCTTCCCACCTCAGCTGTGCCAGCCCTTCCTGTAGCGGGAACCATCTCCACTTGTCACCTCTATGGTACTTCCCACCTCTTGGTTGCAATTTTTAGTTCTGCTTGTTAACCTCTCACACAAGAGAGGCACCATAATAAGTAATTCTTGTGCATAGTAAGCTAACTACTATGATGAAAGTGGTTCCTCCGGGGAGTTCAGGAACCCTTAATAAGACAGAAAGCTTATGGACACACAGTTGGTAAAAAAAAAAAAATCTAATTCTCTCAGTCAGGGAAAAGGTGTTGATAGGTGAAACTCTTTCTAATCGCAAGGAAAAATGAAAACAAACATATTTTAATTAGCTTATATTTCTAGGATTTAAACTAGTAAGAGTGAAGTGACACTGATATTTTTAAATTTCTGTACTTTAGTTTTAAAAAGGTCCTAAAATAGAAGTTCTAAACTCAAGGTAAAAGATGAAAACATGAAAAATTGTCTAGGCAGTGCTAAAAATTTAGCAGATTCCTAAACTAAATTGCTCCAAGTATTTCAAGGCTTTCTCGGGCCTTGCTTAAGAGAAATATTTCTATTATAACTCTAGTTTCTAAAATATTGAAGCATGAATTTCACAGAAAGCTATTTATTAAACAAAGGTAATTGAAAAAAAGCCTTGAATTTTTAACACAATATAAAGTTAATTTACAAATACTTCACTAATGTTTGGGCCTAATTAAATATGATATAGAGGAAAGGGAGGAAGGGAGGAATTTGGGAGGTAGAGAGTAAAAGATAAATTCCAGAACTAAAAATCGAGGAAATAATAAAATACATATATATATATATGTATATATATATATACATATATATATATTCATTCATTCAAAGAAAAAGAGGTATCAATTTGGGAGGGATTGAGAAGGGAGTTATAGAGCAAAAGGGGCAATGATATAATTACATTTTAATTAAAATTTAAAGTTTTTAATAGAGAAAATTTTAAGTTATAATTTCTCATTTAAACTAGATACTACACCCCCCCAAAAAAAATAGCAACAACAAAAATTCTCCAAATTTGAAGGATAGCTACACATGTATACCTTAGTATGCATACATAGATAAGCATATAAAATGCAAAAAGAGAATGAAAGGAAGGAAGGAAGGAACTAGAAACATAAGAGTAGTGTTTACCAGACCTATGTCTCACCATTTGGATCAAGACGTGCACTTTCATGTGCTAACATAGGAAACTGAAGTAGTTAGGACTGAATAATATTGTCAGGCAAAACTGAACTCTCCCTCAGTTTTTAACAAATGAGCAGGTGAACCTGTCATCCACCAATTCTGGTAATTATGGATTACCTTGCATACAACAGCAAACTGTTGGTTATTTCCTGCTCCAATTACAAGATAGCCATCCTTGGTTTTGAAAGCCTTTAAAAGAGACAAGAAATAAATATGTAAGTGTATGTCTGTACATGGATAATACCAGAAAATTAACTTAAATTCCTAATAATTCTATATTGAAAGTTTAACATACTTAGATGCCATTCATCAATTCAAAAGAAATGAAGTGAATATATTTTATCTTATAATATAATTGCATTTTTTTTTCATTTAAGATTTTTGGGACCACCTTGAGTCCCCGCCTGCCTGATCTTTGAACCCCATAGCCAGGCCTCTGCTGGAGGTGAGTCTGTGACCAGTTCAGGTCAAATCCCACCCACAAGAACACCCTTCCCAGGGAACTCCCTGGGTGGGTCCCGAATTTCACTCCCCCCTATATCCTGTCCCCAGAGAGAACATTCCTAGTATTCTGATCCACAAAACCCCCAAACTAAGAATCTGCCTCCCCCCACACACTGAGTTTTACTGAGCCCACTGTTCGACTGCTCTGGTTGAGTACTGGACCAGAGAGCAGGTCCAACAACCCCTCCAACTCCAGGGAACTTACTGGATCTGCTTTGAGCACACTAGACTTGCCTATCCATGGGGGACCACACTGAGTCCCTGCCTACCTGATCTTTGACTCCCATCACCAGGCCCCTGATCTCCTTGAGATCTTGGACCACCCAGAGCTATAGACATCAAACTCCTGACCCACCTATGCCCACTGGGAGAGTTGCATAGAGAGAAAGAAAGAGGCTCCACCTGCACCCTCTGGAAGAAAGAGATGGGAAGATGGTAATACAGGAAAACACATAACAATAGAAAGACAAGCATGACACAACCAGAATCTATGGACTCTATACCAACTAGACCTGAACAAACCAAAGCAAATGAAGCAGAAGAAAACAACTTAAAAAATAACTTCATAACAATGAGAGAGGCCTTCAAAGATGACATGAGAAAATCTCTTAAAGAAATGGAAAAAAAAACAAACAAAAAATTGGAAGAAATGAACAAGTATCTTAAAGAAAGTAAGGAACACCAAGAAAAAAAAACAATGAAAGAGGTAAAGGAAACAGTTCAAGACTTGAAAACTAAAAATGAGACAATAAAGAAAACACAAACTAGGGAATGCTGGAAATAGAAAACTTGGCAAGTGATCAGTAACTACAGCTGCAAACATAACCAACAGAATACAAGAGATTGGAGAGAGAATCTCAGATGCTGAAGATAAACTAGAGGAAATAGATTCATCGACCAAAGAAAATCGTAAATCCAACAAGTCCTTAACAAAAAACATCGAGGAAATGTGGGATACTGTGAAAAGGCCAAACCTAAGAATAATAGGCATAGAAAAAGGTGAAGAAGCCCAGCTCAAAGGTGCAGAAAACATATTCAACAAAATCATTGAAGAAAACTTTCCCAATCTGAAGAAGGACATGCCCATGAAAGTACAAGAAGCATACCGAACACCAAATAGGCTGGACCAAAGAAAAAAGACACCTCAACACATAATAGTCAAAACACCTAACATAGAGAATAAAGAAAGAATATTAATAACAGTGAAGGAAAAAGGCCAGGTAACATATAAAGTCAGAACTATCAAAATTACACCTGACTTCTCCATGGAAACTCTCAGGGACAGAAGGTCCTGGATAGATGTTCTACAAGTACTAAGAGTCCACAGAAGCCACCCAGGCTAATACACCCAGCAAAACTCTCAATCATTATAAATGAAGAATACAAGATATATAATGACAAAGCCAGATTTTCACTATCTGTATCTACAAATTCAGCCCTACAGAAAGTTCTGGAAGGAAAACTCCAACCCAAGGAAGTTAACTACCCTCACAAAGACAAAGGCGATAATCCCACTTCACCAGACCCAAAAGATAAAGCAGGGAAAATATATTCACAATACCAACAACAACAACAAATACAACAAATCTAAAAAGACACAGGCTAACACAATGGATACAAAGATGGAATGCATACAAGAAACACATCTAAGCTTCAAAGAGGCATTACCTCAGGGTAAAGTGTTGGGAAAAGATCTTCCAATCAACTGGACCCAAGAAGCAAGCAGATATAGCTATCCTAATATCTAACAAGTTAGACTTTGAACCAAAAATCAATCAAAAGAGATGAAGATGGTCATTTCCTATTCATCACAGGAGGAATCAATTAGCACAAAATCTCAATTCTGAACATCTATGCCCCAAATACAAAGGCACCCACATTTGTAAAAGAAACCCTACTAAAACTCAAAGCTCATATAAAACCTCACACACTTATAGTGGGAGACATCAACACCCCACTCTCACTGCTAGACAGGACCACCAGTCAGAAACTTAAAGAAACGAAAGAACTAACAGAACATCTATAGAACATTCCATTCAAACACAAAAGAATATACCTTCTTCTCAGCTCCACATTGAACCTTCTCTAAAATTGACCACATACTAGGCAACATAACAAACCTCAACAGATTTAAAAAAAAAAAAATTGAAAAGTACCCTATATCTTATCAGACCACCATGCTTTAAAGTTGGAATTCAACAACACAGATCACAGAAACTCAACAAAGTCATAGAAACTGAGCTATGAGTAATTGCACCATAACTGGGTCAAAGAAGAAATAAAGAAATTAAAGACTTCCTAGAATTCAACAAGAATGAGGACATAACATTCCTGAATATATGGGACACCTTGAAAGCATTCCTACGAGGGAAGTTCATTGCACTAAGTGCCCATATGAAGAAAACAGAGGATAGTCACATTAGAGAACTAACAGCTTAACTTAAAGCCTTAAAACAAAAAAGAAGCAAACTCACCATGGAGGAGTAGACACCAGGAAATAATCAACTTGAGGGCTGAAATCAATAAAGTAGAAACCAGGAAAACAATACAAAAAAAAAAAAAATCAATGCAACAAAGAGTTGGTTTTTCGAGAAAATCAACAATATAGAGAAACCTTTATCAAAACTACCAAAAAAGCAGAGAGAGAGAACATGCAAATTAACAAAATCAGAAATGAAAAAGGGAACATAACAACAGATACAGAGGAAATCCAAACAGTTTTCAGGTCATACTTTGAAAACCTGTACTCCATAAAATTTGAAAATTCAAAGGAAATGAAAAATTTCTGGATAACTATCATTTACCAAAATTAAATCAAGAACAGATAAGCACCTTACACAGACCTATAACACCTAATGAAATAGAGGCAGTCACCAAAAGTCTCCAGATCAAAAAAAGCCAAGGGCCAGATGGATTCAGTGCAGAGTTCTACCAGAAATTCAAAGAAGAGCTGATACTAATACTGCTCAAATTGTTCCACACAATAGAAGCAGAAGGTTCATTACCAAACTCTTTTTACGAGGTCACAATTACCTTGGTACCCAAGCCACACAAAGACATAGCTAAGAAAGAAAACTACAGACCAATATCTCTGATGAACATCAATGCAAAATACTCAATAAAATACTGGCAAACCGAATTCAAGAATACATCAGAGAAATCATCCACCACGATCAAGTAGGTTTCATCCCTGGTTTGCAGGGATCATATGAAAATCCATCAACATCATCCCCATAGAAACAAACTGAAAAAAAAAAAAAACACATGATCTTCCCACTAGATGCTGAAAAAGCCTTTGAGAAAACTCAAAACCCTTTCATGATAAAGGATTTGGAGAGATTGGGGATAACAGGAACATACCTAAACATAATAAAAGCAATATACAGTAAACCAACAGCCAACATCAAACTGAATGGAAAGAAGCTTAAGGCGTGATGGGAGATGTCATTGTGTATATATGTTTCTCATACTGGTTAATGAATAAAGCACTGTTGGCCAATAGGAAAGGAAGATAGGAGGGACTAGGAGATAAGGAGGAAAGAGGAAGTAGTAAGGAGGAGTCAAGATGGAGAGTCTGGACAGAACAGAACCGCCATCCCTCCACTCTCGGTAAGACCACGTGAAAATACATAAAAATGGGTTAATACTTAAGACAGAGCTAGGCGATAAAAAACAAGTAACTGGCCAACAACATAATATCAAATACAGAGTCTCAGTGTGTTATTTGGGGCTGGCGTGGAAGCAGGACAAGACTGGGTGGGCGGAAAAACCATACTCCTTACAAAGGTGATTCCTCAAAAAACAGGAACAAGAAAAGGCTGCCCTTTCTCTCCATCTCTCCAATATTGTACTTGAAGTTCTAGCTAAGGCAATAAGACAACAAAAAGAGATGAGGGGAATACAAATTGGAAAGGAAGAAGTCAAACTGTCACTATTTGTAGGTGATATGATAGTTTATATAATAAACCTAAAAAACTCTACCATGGAACTCCTACACCTAATAAACACTTTCAGCAAACTAGCAGGATACAAGATAAACTAAAAAACAAACAAACAAACAAAAACAGTACCCCTACTATATACAGACGACAAAGGGGCTGAGAAAGAAATCAGAAAATATCACCCTTTACAATAGCCGATAGCCACAAACAACATAAAGTATCTTGGGGTATTGCTTACCAAACAACTGAAAGACCTATATAGCAAGAACTTTGTGTCTTTAAAGAATGAAATTAAAGAAGATACCAGAAAATGGAAAGATCTCACATGTTCTTGGATAGGTAGGATAAACATAGTAAAAATAGCAATCTTACCAAAACCAATCTACAGGTTCAAAGCAATCCCCATCAAAATCCCAACACAATTCTTCACTGACCTTGAAAGGATAATAATCAACTTTATAGGAAAAAAAAAAAGACCAAGGATAGCCAAAACAAACCTGTACAAAAAAAGAATTTCAAGAGGCATCACCATCCCCAACTTCAAGCTCTACTATAGAGCTATAGTCCTGAAAACAGCCTGGTATTGGCACAAAAATAGACAGGTAGAAAGGTAGAACAGTGGAATCGAATTGAAAAACCTGATATTAACCCACACACCTATAAACACTTGATTATTGACAAAACAGCTAAAAGTATACAATATCAGGAGGAAAGCATCTTCAACAAATGGTGCTGGCACAACTG